ATTCAACACCAAGATAATAAATGGTTAAATACCCTACGATTGTTACATTAAGCAAATTAATCTACTGTGAACTTCTTCCCGAAGCTTTTCTTCCCAAGCATAAAAGATAAAAAGGATACTAATGCTACTACTAACTTCAGAGCAACTCCCTCTTTCTACAATGTCATACACTGTTACATATCAACATAGAAAAGAAACATGAGTACCTTTCCATACATGTAATATAAAAATATTAAATGACTGATCCAAAGTAACTTATCGATAGTAAAATTAAAAAAAAAATGTTTTAAAGTCTATATTTATTATTAAGTATTGACTTGTCGTATTCCTCATGTCTATAATTGAACTTTCAACACAAAAAACATATATTAAGTATGCCTTTTAGATCTTAATATTCAAGCCAAAACCATTTGACATAGAATGCAAACCTTACATTATACATAAAACACATATACATACACACACAAACTTACAAAGCACATAAACGTACAAAGGAAGAGCATGGGTGGTTTTCAATATGCACATAATGATGAAGAATTTGCAGAAACCTCTTAAAACCAAATTAACATGGAAATTAAAAAAAATCATGTTTATTTAGTTATCAGTTTGTAAACTAAATCCCATCTTAAATAACTTAAACTGGGTAAAAGCATCATCTAACCCGTTCCTTTTTCCTATACAAACATAAAAACTGTGATTTGATCATTTTGGGGTAAACCCTAGGAAAAGACAGAGTTTCAGAGTACATGTCTGCTTCTTCTCTAGGATTGCTTATTCTTTAGATTTGCTTCGTCTTCATAAACCTAAAACCAAAGAAAAAATAGCCAGTGGAAAAGTAAAGTGATGAACAAAAAGGAGAAAAGACTAATGGAGATGAAAGTTCATAGAGATTTACTCATTTTCATTGTTATTCAGCCCAATAGTTTCATGTGGTCCTTCCTCTTCCTTCTATCTCAGACCTAGTCATCGAAGATTTCTCATTATTACTTCTCCAAACATACCGAAGAAACACATGAGCCACCAACAATAAAGCATGCAAGCCACAAAACAGTATATTAAAAGAAACTTTTATATGAAACAATCTAAATAGAGAACCTAAATTGAGTTACCATAAATTTCATGAGAAAAAGGAGATATTGAAAACATTTGAGAGAAATTGAAAACCTGAAGAAACATAGATTTCGTTGGCTGTTAAAGAGAGATGGTGGTTGTGAACGGTGGCGATATGAAGTAAGATGGGGGTGAAGGTGGTCAAGAAGATTTAGCCAACAATGACTTCATAGTTCATCATGTACAAGATGAAAACTTTTATGAGAAGACAAATCGATAACTAAAGGATAAAATCAATAGATGAACCAGAGACTCTAAGCATCAGAGCAAAAAAAGATGTTAGCTTTACTTATTTGGTGTAGTGAAGTAGACAAATCCAAACCTTTACTCACAAACCCACCACCTTCTTATTTATGTTCATCATCTGCTGCTGCAACAAAAACACAACATCATTTTTCACTAAAAATCATACGAATACACCTAAATTCAGAAAACCTAAGTACACGCATGATGAATATGGTCAATATAAAGGGCATCAAAATTCAAAGTAAATGATTAGAACAACTTGGGAGTTTAGGCATGGAAATCTGAGATTTGTAGTAGAAAGTAGTTACCTCATGGCATCTTTTCCACCTTCATTTTCATTTTTCTGTAACAAAATAACAAAGTATTAACATCTTGTCCTTTAGAAAACGAAAATCAAAATACATAAAGAAATTGTATATTTCCAACATTCTTTTCCAAATTTAAAGCAACTTTCAGAGTATTTGATACCAAATAAAAAAAAAATTCAATTCCAACAACATTGATGTTGACAGGTAAAAAAAAAACTAAGTTGCAGCTTGAATCTTCAGATGTTGACAGCTTAAAAAAAAATACTGGAAAAAACAAACTAATTATCGTTGATTTTCCACAGTTGTAGCTTGAATCTTCAGAAAAACATGTAAAAAAACAAACATATCTTTGATTTCCAAAACTTGTACCTTGAGACTCAAAGAAGTGAGGCAGGAGGGTCGACTATCGATATACACAGTGAGTTAGAAAGAGGATTAAAAAAAAGAGCTATGGTGAGTACTTTATAGAGATGGGTTCCATCACCAAAGGAATCGAACATCAACAAAGAGTTGAGGGTCGTTGTAGCATATTATGATGAAAAACCCAAAATAGGACAACAAAAATCAAGAAACCTATGGGTAGGAAGGGTAAACTTGAGTTGCTTACGGAAATCGTTGCCAGATGGGTTGGAGTCGTTGTAGCATTGAGAAAAATGAACACTTGAGGTGGTTGAGTTTGGTGGCAACAACGAGAGAGAGAGAGAGAGAGAGAGAGAGAGAGAGAGAGTCTAACGACATTAGGGTTTCTGTATTTCAAAAGACATGAAGAAGTGGGAGAGAACGAAGGCACTTAGAAGATGGAGGAATCCAAGTAACAAAGGAATTTAATCTTATGTGCCTTACTGCCTTCAATATATTTATGTTGTTTATATTTAGCTTAGATATAGGAAAAGTTCAGCACGTTTGTTGAAAGATTATTGCAGATTTATAAGGAATTAAGTGAGTCAATCAACTGGGAGATGGAGATAAGAGGGAAAGATAAAGGAACCGGGTCAAAGATCTTTTATGTATCGTATTAGCTACTTGTATACGTTGTATTATTGTTTGTACGATTTAATCTAATTGGGTTAATTCAAATAATTATTAATATTTTATTGGTAGTGATTTGTACTATCAGCTTAATGGTTTGGACGTCTTAAAAAAATAATATTATTATATTCAATCTATTTATAGAAATAGTAAGATTTCTTTTATAAGATAGTAAATATATATATATATATATATATATATATATATATATATATATATATATATATATATATATATATATATATATATATATATATATATATATATATATATATCTTCAAAATTAATCGCAATTACAAAACAGGTGATCCTTACAAGGCATTATTTGTTATCACAAATAAGAAAATATAAAAAAAACTAGTTATCGTTTATCTATAATTATGTAATATTATTTTAAATATTAAACATATTAATGAATGAATGTAATTAATTCTATTGACAAACGTTCTGCAAGTAGCCTCACCAAATGTCTATCATAAAATTGTAGCCAGAACAATCGACAATAATTAAAATAGTTTATTAAAAATTGAAAAAAAAAATCAATACCACAAATGAAATAATGAATACGTCTCGAAAATCCCCACCTTTTTATCCATTGACACTAGCCAAGCCGCAAGAGGAATCGAGACCCGCCCTTTCTTCCGAGTTCCGACCTAATAAAATCTCATCTATAAAGAATCATAGTACACACCTTCTTGAATCAATCAGAATGTCTGGAAAATGAGATGAAAGAAAAATGGGGCATTATTTACTGCTTAAATCAATCTGCAACAACATATATACAAAATTTATGGTATTTACTTGTATCGATTGTGAATTCTCGATAGATAAGTGAGATACATAAAGAATGGCGATGAGTAGAAAAGCTCAATTTTATTCTGAACAGAAGCTGATGAAAAAAAGAATGTTGTATGTTGATCGAATGAAGAAGGAAACTGATCACTAATTTATCTCTAGAGAGAGATAATTACGTTATTCAATCTAATTTAATGGAAACAAAATATTCGAAATTCCTTAAATACCCTTTAACTTAGTTCAAAAGTTATAAATTAGTCTCATTATCAACCTTAGATTTGAAATTTTGAACAAATATGATAACCTGCCTGATAATGAAATTATATGGCTTAAATGTTGCATCAAGTTATCCCACATCAGCTTTTTTTCTCCTAAATCTTGAGGGGCGTAAACATTAACAACAATAGTTTCACCTATAATACCATTACAGTACCCCACAACAGCAAGAAAATGACGGTTCTTTATGCTTGCAATTTTGTGAAAAAAAATTGATATCCCAAAAACTCACCAATCCCCCGAAAAACCATAGGACTCCACCCATTCAAAATCAAAATCACTTGACCCCTAACATTGCTCGATTCCAGACCTGGAAACAATTGAGACCCTAGTTTCCTGAATACCACAAAAGGTTAACTTGTGCCCTCATCTCAGCCGATTGACCCAATCAAGCTTGTGGGAATTACCCACACCCCTAATGTTAAGAGACATCAAATTCATTGGACAGACTTTTTACCTCCATCACCGTAATAGGCCCGCTCAAAGGCATTATATCCATCTGCAATTTGAAAACCCAATTGATTTCCATCTTCAATAATGCGATCATGCTCAGAGATGGAAAGGGAAGAGACCTCCCTGCAATTATCTTGTTCTTCCATAAGCGGGGGACCAACGTCTTTGTTAAGATCAATAGAATGTGACGAAGATGGGAGGGGATAGCGCAAATTCTGGGTATTCTTAAAATTAGGATCTTTGGGGATTTTTTTCTTTGTACGACGCCGTTTAAGAGTAGATCCACCCACTTCAAAGTCTGGGCTACTAGTTTCTCTCATGAACCCAGGACCCAAATCAGGCCCAACTGAATCATTAGGAAGGGGGGAAGAAACATCTGGCCCCACATGCAATCCCTCACCTGAGAAAACTCCATTTACGGAAACATGGAATAAATTCCTACTTGTATACTTTGTATATACATATATTCATTCATTAAGTTCACCGAAGATCACCTTTCTATTCATCATTGCTATGGAAGGCCTTAATGTTGCTATGAGATCGGCGATCCAAAATTCCTTGTATTCGGGTATTTCTCTCCCAAACAATGGTCCCTCCATCTCTCATTTGTTTTACGCGGATGATGTTTTATTTGTCGGTGAATGGTCCTTCTCAAACTTCAAGAACCTTTCTAGAATCCTTAAATGTTTTCATGTGGTGTTTGGTTTAAATGTTAACTTTCACAAGTCAAAGGTTTATGGGATAGGTATTGACAATTATGATGTTGTTAGTTGCGCAAATATTATGGGGTGCAAGGCTGCCAACCTCCCATTCGTTTATCTCGGTGTTCCCGTTGGGGCTAACATGAACCTTAAAAGAAATTGGAAACCAGTTATTGACAAGGTGCAAGGTAAGCTTTCGAGTTGGAAATCCAAGACCCTCTCTTTTGGAGGCAAATTGACTTTGATTAAGTTGGTTCTTTGAAGCATGCCCCTGTTTTATTTTTCGATCTTTAAGGCCCCTAATTCCGTTATTGATTTGTTGGAGAAGATTCGCAGAAGATTCCTTTGGGGTGGGACGGATGAGAAAAACAAAATCCGTTGGGTTGCATGGAAGCATGTTCTTGCGGATAAGGAGTTGGATGGTCTAGGTGTTTGCTCCCTTAAGAGCCTTAATATTGCTTTATTATATAAATGGATATGGAGGTTAAAATCAGAGAACTCTCCTCTATGGAAGCAAGTTATTTGTGGGATTCATAATCTTTCTCGCAAACCAATTTATAATTTGTCCAAGAGATCTATCCCTGGTGTTTGGAATAACCTGATATCTATTTCGAGAATTTTGGGAGAGATGGGCCTCGACTTTTATCATTTCATATCAACCAAAATTGGGTCGGGGCGGAATACCCTATTTTGGCTTGACAATTGGATTGGTGATGGAAATCTGGCTTTAAGGTTTCCTAACTTATATGCCTTGGATAAACGTAAGTCTTGTTTTCTGGCAGAAAGATTTTCTTCGAATGGTTTTTTATGGGCTTGGAGGAAAAATCCTAGCCTTCCCGTGGAGATGGAAAAACTGGCACAACTCTGTCGGCTCCTCGATGGGGTTACCTTGTCCTCGGATCCTAACTCTTGGAAATCCAAGCTTTCTAGTGATGGGCAGTTCTATGTTAGAGATATTCGTAAGCTCATCAACTCCAAAGTCACTGTTGGGACTAATAGTACAACCGTTTGGGTAAATCTTGTCCCCTTAAAAATAATCTGCTTTGTTTGGAGGGCTAGTTTGGATGGTATCCCTTCCTCCATGGATCTTTCAAGGAGGGGTGTGGGTGTTGCTTCTACCAGGTGTCTCTTTTGCATTAATGGTGTGGATGTTATGGATCACTTGCTTATTGCTTGCGATCTCGCCAAGGAGGTGTTCAAGTGGATTTTTAAGTGGTGTGATGTCCCTTTCGTCTCCTTCTCTTCGGTCTCTGAAGCTTTGAATTTTGCTGCTAAGTGGGGAAACTGCCCAAAAAAAAAGGAAGGTCTTTCTTGCCATATTGTACGGAGGTCTGTGGTGTATTTGGAAGGGCCGGAATGATAGGCTTTTTAATCAGGTGCCTACAACCATTTCTGAAGTTGTGGACAACATTATAACTATGGTCTTTGGGTGGGTTAAGCATAGGGGTAATTTTGGCAATTGTAATTGGGCGAATTGGTGTTGTTCCCCGTTTAGTGTCTTGTAGCTTTGCCCTGGGCGGGGGTGTGGGGGTTTGTGTTGTTTTGGGGTTGTGATTTAGCTTAGTTGTTTGCCAAGTCTTTTCCTTGTAAGGCTTCGGTCCTTGTTTCTTTTTTATAAAATTTCGCCGTTTCAAAAAAAAAAATGTTGCATCGAGTGAATAATAGAGCATACACATTGAATGACCAACATCATAGATTATCGAGTATATTACATAAATTGTCCAAATGTTTTTTTTACTTTTAGTTTAAATATATTTTTATTTCAATTGCAATACATACGGTTCTCATATTTTTTATTTCAATTGCAATACATACCATGTGTTCTAAATGTACATATAAAAGTATTATTTATGATAAATATTACTATAATGAAAGAGAAAGCGAGAAATTTAACCACTTTTTTGTTTATAGTTAACAAAAATGACCATTTTTTTATACTAACCATTATGTCTGGAATGGAAGTTCCGGAGCAAACCAAAATGGGTCAAGGCCACTCTAATTTCCCAATGCTATATATATATATATATATATATATATATATATATATATATGTGTGTGTGTGTGTGTGTGTGTGTATGTGTGTGTGTGTGTCCCACATAAAAAAAGTTTGGAATAACCATTGCCGGTTTTGAAATTTCAAATATCATTCTACCTGCATGTTTTGACAAAGGATTCATCACACCATGTGATTTCTATTCTTTTAGGTGTCGTTTGTTTTTTTGAAGTGAAAATGTTTGAAGACTGCGGACCACCTCTGCAACCCTCTATAACAGAAGAGGGGGGACCAAACCGCTGCAACATTTAATAAAAAGTCTGTTTGTTTTTTAACCTCTGCAGATTGCTGCAGTAAGTTAAAGTGAGGCGTGAAGAGGTTTGAAGCAGAGGGTCAAATGTTGCGTCACGCAGCACACACGCAACATTTTTTAAGTCAAAAATCTTCTGAAAAACAAACAACTGCAAAGTGCCAAGTGATGCATGAATGTTGCACGACGCAACAATAAGTGGTCATAAGAGGTTTTTTAGAAAAAAACAAACAACTTATTTTACTAGAATTTGAGATTACAAACAATTATATGTATTTCAGAATCCGTTGATCATGTCCGGAATACGAAGAACAATTCTAGAATATTTGTATTTTGTATTTTTTTCGTTTACACATATTTAGAGCCATATAAAGTATCTTACAGTGTGTTTAAGACCCGTTTAATAATCAAGAAATAATATTAATAGGGAATCCAAAATGATAATGTAACTCCGGAATACGAAAAACGTAGTCTGGAGTACTAATATCAATTCCAGAACATCTATGTGATTTCTACTCTTTTAGATTACTAGAATTTGAGATTATAAACAATTATATGTATTTCAGAATCCGTTGATCATGTTCGGAATACGAAGAAAAATTCCAGAATATCTGTATTTTGTATTTTTTTTTCTCGTTTTACACATGTATAGATCCATATACGTATCTGAAAGTGTGTTTAGGACTCATTTAATAATCAAGAAATAATATTAATAGGGAATCCAGAATGACAATGTAACTCTGGAATACAAAAAACATAGTCCGGAACACTAATATTAATTCCAGAATGATGTTCCAAAATGACACTCCTTAATAAAAATGATTATTTTGTGTCTGATATTGTTTAATAACCTATATTAGTCCGAAGACCAATTCGAATGGATGTTGTTAAAAAAGTGAGTTTTACGGACGAAGAAGTTGTATTTGCGTCCGATAAAAGTAAAATCGAATAACAAAAGTTTCTAATAAATATTTTATTTTATTTTTATGGTATTGTATTACAATTGTTGTTGGTATTTTGTTTTGCAGATCAAAAACCAAGATGCAAGTTAGAAAAGAAAATGAAAAACAAAAAACAACTGCACCTATAAATTTTTAAAAAAAAAAATCAGAAATGGTTTTAAAGCTTAAATTGAAAGCACATATAACTTCGAAAGATGGGACCAGAGCAAGTTTAAATAAACCAGTTGTTATAAATTAATTGTAAATTAATAATTTTTGTTATGGATACGTTTTAGCAAGTTCGTTTTAATTTTGGATGCGTTTAATCAAGTTGGTTTTTAATGCGTACTTTTGAGACCTACATGGAATTGTTTTAAAATCATGTAGACACTGTTAGTTTGCACCAGATGCATGTTCTTGGTTATTTTGGAAATCTACTCAAATTTTTAATATTGTAATGTCTTTTGAAACTTAATAATGTAAAACAAATGCAAGGGTCATCTAAAATGGAAAGGCTTTTCATTAACATTAGTCAAACGATCGTTACAAAAACTATTACATACTTATATTGGTTTCCACAAATTAGGAAATTGTAGGAGATATATGTTTTGTTCACAATCGATAAAATCTCCCCAAATTCTAACAACATTTCTTAGGCGGTCCCATATGGTTCGAAGCTTATCAATCTCTACATTTGCATCTCGAATCCACTTCTTAACTTCTTATACTTTTTTCATAGTTTCCGCAACCCATTTTTTTTTACTTGTTTTGCTAGATAGTGTGCACGTTGCTGAAGTGTCTGACTTATTTCAAAGTCTGTTTCGTTTGCTTCTTCAGTGGCCTTCATACAATGGAAAATGTCATCAAACATTTTATCCGAGAGTGGGACATATGGGCCTTCCGTAAGAGTGATAATATTTGAACAAGCATAACAATCTTCTTCTTCATAAAGCCAAACGCCAAACTCGAATGAACTCATTCTCAAGTTTCTTCTATGTTTATGATGTATGACAACAACATATTAATATGGTGTATTTCTAACTAATTTATAGTGTCTAAAAGGTAGTATCCATAATGGTGTGCCAAAATGTGTGTTTGTGAGTCCGTGCATCAGGAATTTATGACATGTATGGTTGATTTGATATGACATAAATGATTGATATCATGTATGCAATGACATGTAATCCAGAATGAAGCACTATATATAAGAAAATGGAATTGAAGAAGCTTTAGATCTCTGAAATGGCGGTAAATCAACTATAACCATGAACTACACGAGAAGATATCATGCTCATTGAGGCTTATTTAACCATTGAGGATGATATGGTTCTCATCAGTCTGACACATCCCATGTACGGATCATGTTGTGTTCTATTGAAAAATATGTTTCATTAAGAGTTATATGCTGTAGAGTATCAAAATGAAGAAGAAGTGAAGATTAAGCTTCTAGAAATACGATCAAAGGTGAAGACGTTTAACAAAATTTATCACAATATTGGCAACGAGTTATTTGATGAAGATGAACAAGTAATTTTGTAGATGAAAAGGGTGGAAATACATACAACAACATAACGGGGTTGATTTTCCATACGAACATGTTTGGTTTCTTTTAAAAGATGTCTCGTATTTTTAAATTATGTATTTTGTTATTTGTAGATTTAATAATGTTGGGATATTTATTGTGCTGTGTCAAAATTAAATATGCATGTAGTTAGTGCTTATTATAAGCGGATTGGGCATGTTCATTCGTCATTATGATGTTAGGATTAGACTATATATATGGCACGCATGTATCTTTTTATTTTTAATGTTTTGTAGCCCTATGTATATTTACAGAGAAGTTCTATCGAACTCTTTTAAGATATTAATAATAAAGCATTCGACACTCTTTTCAATCACATTCAATCTTTGTTCTTATTGTTTGATTCAACTAAACTATTTTGAATCTATTGATCATTATTTTATTGTTTCAACAATTGGTATCAGATAAGGAGATTGTTTAATACATATGCATATCTTCAGTTGAGCTTACAAGGGGTTTTGGGTTTTTATCAAATCTGTTCTAGCCGTCTCCATCGTCTTCATCACTTGTAGATGATAGATATGGGTTATTATTTTAACCTAAACTAGATTAATATCTTACACATCTATTTCTTTACTGTTTTAATTATCTTGTCAAAGATGAATCCAAAAGATCCACTTACTCTTTCTTTTAATATTTTTAGCAGCATTGGATCGACTGCCAGGATCCCAATTCTTTTCCCAAAAGACTATGAAGTTTAGGCTCTACACTTTAAAGGCAATATTCTTGGTCTTGAAGATCATGCAACCCTATACATGGGATGCAATGACGAAGGAGACCTTCATGCACACTGCTACAAGAAAATACATTAAGACTCAGATTGAATACAATGAACTTCTTCTTAACGTTAAGGAAGTTTCTTAAGATGAAAAAGACAAATTGTAGAGTAACATCAAGGCCATGAGAATAATTAGGTTTGCTTTGCGTTTAGACACGTTTCGTCTGGTAAGTTCGTGTGAAACTGTGAAGGAAATATGGGACAGATTGAAAGAACTCTATTCAAGTGATGCGGATCTAGACCATTTTGTTCAAACATTACTTCTTTCAGAGTTTGGTGATTTTTTTCAAAGGCCAGAAGAGAAACTGGATCAAACCTTCAATCTCTTTAATCATCTACTGAGTAGGATGCTTAAGCACAATCTTAAGCGTGAAAAGAGTGAGAAAAAAGTTATTTTTATGAATGGCTTAAGGTCTAAATGGAAAGCAGTTGTATAACCTTTAAAAGCTCGTGAACAATTCAAGAACTATTCTTTGGCACAACTAGTTGGTATTCTTAGATCTCATGAAGACAAAAGTGATGAAGGGCGTGAAAGTTATGTTAAGCACGAGATCGTTAGCCCTAGTTGTGAAGGGCAAAAAGGTTTCAGAAGAAGATTCGGAATCTGACCTCTCAGATTTTGAACTTACCAAGGAAGAACAAGCTTTGATGGTTTCTAATCCCAAAAGGTTCATCAAAAGAACTTTGTATGATTCAAAAACAAAAATAGATCATGAAACTTTAATTCGGAGAAGTCAAGGGTGAAGGCTTTAGAAG